AACACTATTTGGCCGAGATATTCAAAAAAATCATCAAAAAAGGTTGACTTTACAAACGAATCGGTTTTTGGTCAACCACTTTTTTTAACCCATCGATTTTAAAAATGTTTGAAAGCATATTGATAGTACGGATCCTTACGAATTCAAAAAGGTATAACATTTCAAAATCTGACAGCATTTACCCGAGAAATTCAATAAAAATCATCAAAAAAGTTTCGATTTTCGATCCGACCCCGAATTTGAGAAAAAACGTGATGTAACCCCTTGCCATTTTGATGATTTTGGTCAAAAATTAGATTTTTATTTTTTGATGCTAATCGATAGTACGGATCCTTACGAGTCCAAAATGGTATAAAATTCCCAAATCGAACACTATTTGGCCGAGATATTCAAAAAAATCATCAAAAAAGGTTGACTTTACAAACGAATCGGTTTTTGGTCAACCACTTTTTTTAACCCATCGATTTTAAAATTGTTTGAATGCAGATTGATAGTAGGGATCCCTACAAATTCAAAAAGGTATAACATTTCAAAATCTGACAGCATTTACCCGAGAAATTCAATAAAAATCATCAAAAAAGTTTCGATTTTCGATCCGACCCCGAATTTGAGAAAAAACGTGATGTAACCCCTTGCCATTTTGCTGATTTTGGTCAAAAATTAGATTTTTATTTTTTTGATGCCAATCGATAGTACGGATCCTTACGAGTCCAAAATGGTATAAAATTCCCAAATCGAACACTATTTGGCCGAGATATTCAAAAAAATCATCAAAAAAGGTTGACTTTATAAACGAATCGGTTTTTGGTCAACCACTTTTTTTAACCCATCGATTTTAAAAATGTTTTAATGCAGATTGATAGAAGGGATCCCTACAAATTCAAAAAGGTATAACATTTCAAAATCTGACAGCATTTACCCGAGAAATTCAATAAAAATCATCAAAAAAGTTTCGATTCTCGATCCGACCCCGAATTTGAGAAAAAACGTGATAACCCCTTGCCATTTTGATGATTTTGGTCAAAAATTAGATTTTTATTTTTTTGATGCCAATCGATAGTACGGATCCTTACGAGTCCAAAATGGTATAAAATTCCCAAATCGAACACTATTTGGCCGAGATATTCAAAAAAATCATCAAAAAAGGTTGACTTTACAAACGAATCGGTTTTTGGTCAACCACTTTTTTTAACCCATCGATTTTAAAAATGTTTGAATGCAGATTGATAGTAGGGATCCCTACAAATTCAAAAAGGTATAACATTTCAAAATCTGACAGCATTTACCCGAGAAATTCAATAAAAATCATCAAAAAGTTTCGATTTTCGATCCGACCCCGAATTTGAGAAAAAACGTGATGTAACCCCTTGCCATTTTGATGATTTTAGTCAAAAATTAGATTTTTATTTTTTTGATGCCAATCGATAGTACGGATCCTTACGAGTCCAAAATGGTATAAAATTCCCAAATCGAACACTATTTGGCCGAGATATTCAAAAAAATCATCAAAAAAAGATGACTTTACAAACGAACCGGTTTTTGGACAACAACTTTTTTTAACCCATCGATTTTAAAAATGTTTGAATGCAGATTGATAGTAGGGATCCCTACAAATTCAAAAAGGTATAACATTTCAAAATCTGACAGCATTTACCCGAGAAATTCAATAAAAATCATCAAGAAAGTTTCGATTTTCGATCCGACCCCGAATTTGAGAAAAAACGTGATGTAACCCCTTGCCATTTTGATGATTTTGATCAAAAATTAGAATTGTATTTTTTTGAACACTATTTGGCCGAGATATTCAAAAAAATCATCAAAAAAGGTTGACTTTATAAACAAATCGGTTTTTGGACAACAACTTTTTTTAACCCATCGATTTTCAAAATGTTTGAATGCAGATTGATAGTAGGGATCCCTACAAATTCAAAAAGGTATAACATTTCAAAATCTGACAGCATTTACCCGAGAAATTCAATAAAAATCATCAAAAAGTTTCGATTTTCGATCCAACCCCCAATTTGAGAAAAAACGTGATGTAACCCCTTGCCATTTTGATGATTTTGGTCAAAAATTAGATTTTAATTTTTTTGATGCCAATCGATAGTACGGATCCTTACGAGTCGAAAATGGTATAAAATTCCCAAATCGAACACTATTTGGCCGAGATATTCAAAAAAATCATCAAAAAAGGTTGACTTTACAAACGAATCGGTTTTTGGTCAACCACTTTTTTTAACCCATCGATTTTAAAAATATTTGAATGTAGATTGATAGTAGGGATCCTTACGAATTCAAAAAGGTATAACATTTCAAAATCTGACAGTATTTACCCGAGAAATTCAATAAAAATCATCAAAAAAGTTGCGATTTTCGATCCGACCCCGAGTTGGAGAAAAAACGTGATGTAACCCCTTGCCATTTTGATGATTTTGGTCAAAAATTAGATTTTTGTTTTTTTGATGCCAATCGATAGTACGGATCCTTACGAGTCCAAAATGGTATAAAATTCCCAAATCGAACACTATTTGGCCGAGATATTCAACAAAAATCATCAAAAAAGGTTGACTTTACAAACGAATCGGTTTTTGGTCAACCACTTTTTTTAACCCATCGATTTTAAAAATGTTTGAATGCAGATTGATTGTAGGGATCCCTAGGAATTCAAAAATGTATAACATTTCAAAATCTGACTGCATTCACTTTTGATCAGCAACAAATTAACTGGCAACTGAAGGTGTTGCTCCGCGCATGGAGTGTGGGTTTGTTTGGCGAAACGTTCAATTAGTTTTTGGCGCCGCGACGAATTGCCATTAGAAATTAGGGTATACGGAATTACTCGCATTACACACACCCTCTCTCACTTAATTAGATTGTGATTGTGATCACACACACACACGCACACATACACAACATATTAGGCGGCACTTTGAACGAAGTCCACGCGCACAATTTGTAGAAATACCTTAAGTTCATTGGGCACATACTCACACTTATCATCTTTGCTCATATTGTCGATTTGGTGAGTCTCTATTCTTATTGTTTTGAACAGTCTTTGAGGCGCTCAATCACTCGTATCAATCAATCAGTCTGTCAGTCATTCACAAATTAGTTGACTTATATGGGGGAACATTGGGAATATAGTCTGACGGGTCTGGGTTAGCCGCGGTAACTGAAAGCCAATCGAGTGCCGTGTGCCACACACGATTTATCTACAAAAACTCCAAGATAATGAGACTAACTTTTGTTTTTGGACAAACCGCGCAGAGCGAGAGAATGTGTATGTTATATTGTATTATATATCATTTTTCTGATAGGCGACCAAACAATTCCCGAGCACCTCTCGCATGCCAGAGATAACTGCAATACTAGTATTACGAGAACAGGGCTTTTTATCAGTTCGGGTGTGATTCTGATTTCATTAACCTTCTGAATGTAATGCAAGCAACTAAGCATATACCCTGTAAAGACACACTCACACAAATACATGTACATATAGCGTGTCGTAATATTATTTGCCATACGCTCTTATTGCTTTTTCTTTTTGACAGATTATCAGATACGAAAGGCCTTACTCCAAAAAAGAGACAAGTGCTCCTCAGTTACAAGTGGGCCGGCTATCTGTACCCTACAATAGATCAGTCCAGCTCTTTTGATTGACAGATTTTCTTAATTGGATTATAAAAATGGAAAGTTAAAAGAAATGCGGCTTATGTGAAAAGACGAATGGAGAGTAGTATAAGATAGAAGTATAAGAAGTATAAGACACATATTGCTAAGTAGTAATAAGGGAGAAAAATGTAGAAAAAATAAAGTTGAAGTTTATGTATATCAAATATATAAATTTTAATTATAAATAAATTTCTGACAAATAAATACATTTTGTGACACTTAGTTGTAAAATTATGCCTAGAAATATTGAGAAAGTTCTGAGTGAAAAAATGCAAAGAAAAAAAGATAATTTTGCCCAAGTTTCAAAAGTTTTATTTCACGAAGAAACTTTCTTTAAGGTTACCATTCGCCCAAGTTTCAAAAGTTTAACTCGTAGATCAAGCTTTCTTTAAGGTTTTCATTCGTTCTTTTTTTATATATATTTTTGTGTACTTTTTAATTGAGTTGCATGTTTCTTTGATTTTTGGATGTGTCTTAATTTGATAAGCCTCGGGCAGACATGGCGACACTTTGCCAACATTTGTATCTGAAGATAACTCACAATGTACACGCCTTGTTGTGTGCTTGGCTCATAAATGAGTAATGCCTGAGACAATCTTAAAAATAAGTTGAGAAAAAAGATCCGTCGAGCGTTGCTCAGGTCTCCGCTGACTCTGTAATTCTTAATTTTGTCAGCTGGCCAACCTAAATCTCGCTGGCTTTGCACTTGGCTTAAGAGATCAGGGCCAAGTTCTTATCTTTTGCAAGTCACCTTTGTTGTTGTTTTGGGCCCAAAGATTTGTCACGTGATTGGCAGCTGTTTTTTGGCCTCAAAGCGAACGAGGGAAGCAAATTAATTAAATTAAATTGTTTTCGTGATTGCGGATGTCTCGATTAGATTAAAGACACATTGCCGGGAACTGCTGTGGAACTGTGGAACTGTGGAACTGTGCCTTTCTTCCATTTTATCGAGCTCGAAATGAAAATAGCTTTTGGGTAAGTCCGAATATCTGAAGTGTCGTCGCACCTGCCACGAAAATAAATGATCTGTTTAGCCAACTTTTATGGCACACTATGAAAACTGAAAGCTGCAGCCGATGTCTGCAAACATTAATTAATTTTAGCATTTACGCGACACGCAAAAGGCGGCCACGTCTAAATTTAGACATCTATCAGTTCAAAAGTGCAGGCCGCAAATAAATTTCATATGCACAGCATTTGCTTGGCCAGATCACGTATACGCCGTGTGAGCGAGTGGGCAAATAATCGCTAATTATTGTTTGACGAAGATCGAAAGGATTTATTTATTTTCTACGCGTAATTACACATTCTTTTTTTATATAAATATCTGATAATAATAATGCAATTTGCACTGCATTTTGATGCAGAGATTACGTATACGCCGCGTAGACCAGAAGATCTGCGTGAATTTAATATATTTCTACTAAATTTAAAATATATTTATTTGTTCGCTTTACTTACCATTGATTTCGACATCTGTGAAGGGTTTCTTTTTAACGGGCTAATGTTGCAAAGAAAATTAAAAGAAATATGCAATAAATTAAAGAAAAAAACAAGTTTAATCAATAACGAGATATTTTGCACTCCTCTTTACCTTTGTGGCACGTTTGCCCAGCAGCGCTGTGCCCAGCATCTGTAAAACAAATTAGAAAATAAATAGATTTCCAATACAGTTCAATATAATTCTTAGTTTTTAGTAGGCATACTAGGAAAAGTTAGCAGCAGCAGTTAAAGTGCTTTGCATACTTTTAAGCGCAAGTAAAAATTGTAAAAAGCCGCAAATAGATCGTCAATTTAAAATTAACTTGGCAACGTGTTTACTGTGCCGTATTTTTATTTATTTTCATTTTTGACAATTCGTTTATTACGTCGTTATTTAGGTTCCCATTTGGATCTTCGTGCTGTTTGCAGTCAATTTAATTTTGTGTAAAGAATTTGCGGTATTTGTTGTGTGCTTAAATTGAAAACTCAAATGGGTCACAGACAACAACTGAGTGCAAATTTACAACAATTTTCACGCGTCATGAATTATTATTGAAAAATAATAAAAAAAAACATATTCAGTAATAAAACCCGACTGTAAATTACAATATTTAAATATTACACTTGATGTGCGACTGCGATTTGTTTATATTTATTGTAGCTTTTCTTTCACGTTTCAAATTGGATTACAACAATCACCTTAACAATATTTTTTTTTTGTACCGTGAACTCATTGAAAATGGGTAAAAGGGGTATAATGTATTTGTGCAAGTGTATGTGTAACAGGCAGAAGGAAACATATCCGACCCCATAGAGTATATATATTCTTGTCTCTCCGTCCGTCTGTGCGTCCGTCTGTATGAACGCAAGGATCTCATAAACTATAAGAGCTAAAGACTTGAAATTTTGGCTGTAGGTCCTCCTAGTGCCCGCGCAGATCGAGTTTGTTTCCGCCAATCGATAACTTGCCCCGTTTCCAAGTAATCGATAAAAAATAATATGAGCTAGAGTCACCAAACTTGACATGTAGGTTCTTGAATAGTATATATATATCAAGTATCTTTGATTTTATACCTATCACCTAGAATAAGAGGGTTCAGGGTATCCCCTAGTCGGGAGCTCCCGACTAGATCTTACTTGTTTTTTTTGTTTAACATAATTATTATTTTTATTTAAAATCTGCCCGCTTTTTGGTCAATAATTAAATTTGTTCTGTAAACTTTGGCAGTTGAGTATCTTTGTATTAAATTTTGTGTATCTTTGTTTCTGCTTGTGAAAACATTTAAATTTATAAACATTTCCGCCTTAAAGTCGTTTCGAAGCGATTTGCTCATCAGTATGCATGAGGCAGGGCCCTGTGGCAGCTCCTTATAAAAACCTTGGCCGAGGTTAGTTGACGTTAACATAAATTCAGTATGCCAGGACAGAGACTCTGTTTTTATCTCACGTACTCGAAGAGACGAAAATAAACAATTTTATAGATTTATGAATTGCTTTAAACGCATTTTTCTATCTTTAAATATTATTAAATTTGACTAATAAAAACAACAACAGCTTAGCGAGACATTGAACTATATCAGTAAAGTATAAAAGTTTGATCTAAACAATTGTTTATAATAAAATATGATAATCATTTTTAGAATTATCAGCCTGGTCTTCGCCTGCGCCTCGTATATTCTATGTTCGAAATAAATTGCCAGCAATAATCCAGCTAATAATCCGCTTTTGTTTATATGCGCAGAGTGAATTTTTGTTTAAACACTCGAGATTTTTTTAATGCCTAAGAAAACATTCAGCAGCCCCTGCCTGACGACGTATCCAAGTGCAAATTAAGAAGCTATTATGCAGCATTTTTATGCTATAATAAAATATAATGACGGCAATTTTAAGACACACACAAATATTGTGAAGATCGATCTGCATTTGAGCCGATTTAAATAATTAAATTTGTAGCGAGAATTTTAGCATTTAATTTTGTACAATTTGATGTATTGAATAATTAGGATTAATTTATTAATAAATAAATAAATGAAGAATAAAATAAAAAAAAGATGTAAATAGAAGCTTCTTTTCCATATTCAGAACAAGAGCGAGTTTTGCATAATTTGTGAATTAAGTTTGCATAAGAAGCATCAAAAAGAAAGCTTTGCGAAGATAATATCACGAGCCTGTCGTCGGACCAGCAAGCGCCTGGTGGCCAGTTCAAATCCAGAAGAAACTATCTACATTTGTTTATTTAATTGTTGTGCTAATCACACATAAAATAAAATAACAATAATAACATGTTCAACAAAATAAACAAATAAATGAAAAATAAATGAGTGTAAAGAATAATAATTGAAATTTGTCTTATGATTTATTTGCTGTGGGTAATGTATTTTAGGCAATGCTTTCATGCGTATGCCGGGCAATGCCGGGTAATCTCTTCAAGCAGCATATATTTGCATCTATTTGGGCAATGCTTTCATGCGTATGCCGGGCGGTGCCAGGTAATATTTACTATATATATCTTGACAGAATACTGCCCTTGATTGCAGGTAAACAAGGCCTTTGTTGATATTATTGACAGACTGGCTTATTTTGTTTATTTTTCATAAATTTTAGTTAAAGTGCTTTACAAAAAATGAACACATATTTAAAAAAAAATGGGTATGCGTGTCACCTTGGCACTTTCTTATTGGGAGCTAAACAAGCTATTTTAAACATTATTTATCGACTGGCAGAAAGGCAACAATTAATATTTGCACACATATTAAAAATGCAGTGTAAACACGAAACAGTTTTAATAGCTGCCAGTCGGAGTCGGAGGCTGAGCAACAAATTTAATAAATATTTACACAGTTCGGGCGGGTTTTGGGGTTCAATGCGGGAAAATATGGAAGGTATAAGGTTTCTATGAAAGGTTGCACTCACCTTCAGCTGCTGACGTAGTCCGCTCATTGGGCTCATTCAATATTGATAAGAGATGGAGAGAGCGAGAGAGAGAGCAAGAGAGAGAGAGAGAGCGAGAGCAAGCGGGGAATGCCTTGTGACGTGCTCGGTGCTCGGTGCCGGTGGCGTATGCGTAATATTTATATATTTGCCCTAATTTTGCTTGATCTCGCTGGCTGTGCTCAAATTTTAAACAGGCTTTGCTAAACGATGTGTATTTAATTTATTTACAAATTTGCAAATTTGTGTTAATTACTTTTTTCTTTTTCACTTCTCACTTGGTTAATATTTCGTTTTAGTGCATTTTAATTTGCCGCGTGCAAGCCCTAAAAATATTTCACAAAGTGTTGTTGGAAAAGTGAAATGAATTGCGATGAATCTTAAACTTTGTTGAATAATCTCTATAATTAACTAGCTTTAACTGCAGTCCAAATGTTCACACTAGACACAGTTTTTTTTTGTTGGTTTTAGTTTTTGAACTTTTATTCGAGACGCGCGCGTTCTGCTTGACGATCGTCTCGCGACGGAGACGCAAACAAAATTGAGCATTTCACCAACGCCAACGATTTTCGAGCCGAAATGCCGAAACAAAAAAAACACAATTTAGCAAAAAGAAAGAAAACGTTAATAAAATAAGAGAAATGTTGCTGAAAACAAAAACAGTTCGAAAAGCCAGACAATTTGTTGCTGCCTTTCATAAATTCTGAATTCCCAATCTCCTTTTGTTGTTTGCGCTTGACACATTTTCTTAATTTTCTTTTCTGATTTACTCAATTTTCTTTGGGCTATTTTTTCCGTTTCCTTGTCAACACACGCAGCTGGTACGAAAAGTACGCGTCTTCTATGTGTACTCGGATTTAAAGTAGTCAAAGCCAAAAGACGCTGACATATTTTTCGTGTGTGTATCTGATGGATACGTAGGTATATTGTATAGGTTGGATATTTAGAAAACATAGAACACAATAAAAGTGTCTGGGAATATTTTGACATCTTTTGTTCCTCACAGTAAATCACATGTATTTTTTTGAATACAATAATATATGTTTATCTGTGCGATTTATTGGGTCCACTTCGCTGAGATTTCTAGGTGAAAGTCGAACAATATGAGAGGAAAGTATCATCTATATATAAAACATGTTTCTCTGCCTGAAAAATTGATGATAAACGTTAAAACTGTGGTTTTGGAAAGTTCTACTCCCAAATGTGGGAAATGTGGGACTGATGTATTGAATAATAAATAAATATATATATACATATTAAATAAATAATGTTGTTATATTTAGTCAGATTTGGGTGAAATTTGTTGGAATGCCAATTAATAGCTGTGCTCCATACGAGTCTTAAAAAACTATATTCATCGAAAATCGGACATAATTCACCCGAGGTATTCGAATTTGAATAACTTTGCATAACTTGCACTCGTCAAAATCTTTAGAATACAATGTTTGATTTCGGAGCAGATGTATTTATATAGTATTTATTTATATTTATATAGTATAGTAGTTTAGTGACAGGTCATTCAACCAGGCTGCTTAAATAAGATAAATGCGTGCAGTGCAATGTTTCGAGCAGAGTGCGTTTAGCTTGGGCAGCTTCTTCTTTTGGGCGGCGCACGCGGCGTATGAGTTATTTTTAGACAGCTGTCCCCTTTGTTCGCAGTGCAACTTGGCAAAGTGCAGCATGCATGGAAGGCAGGGAGTGAGATCAGAAATAGATAGAAATTAAAGAAAATGACAGGCGCTTTGATAATTTTAATTAGGCAGCTGTCGTTGGGTGTGTCGCAACACGTGGCGTATACGCAATATATCACGTGCACGTAACACGCTGAAGCTAGTAATTTTTTTTCTAATGGAGCATGCTGTGATGTATAATGGGATGCTGCAGACAAATCTCTGCACAAGTATTTGAACTAAACTGAACTTAACTTTTGTGCCGGGCATTGTTTTTGCCATGGCAAATGAAGTAGCTGAGGAGCAGCACTTGCAAATCATTTCAAAGTCAATCGTTTTAGTATAAATCATTATTTTTAACAGTTGATAAATTGTTGCAAATATTTAGTTCGTGTCCCACTGTCGCTGCCAGCAGACGAATACGATATGTTTGGCTGGACGAGCTTTAACAATTTTATTATCAGCTTATTAATATCAATATCATTAATTATATCAGAATTCTTGCTTTACTCCGAACTGACATATGAATAGTTGTGGAGATGTCGTAAGAGAGCTCAGAAAATAAATGCGTATAAAATGCGCCACGCGTTAAAAAAACGTGCGAGCCAAAAGAGCTGCATTTATGAAGAAAATAAATACATATAGATATATATGCTTATATATGCTTATATTCACATTATGAGAAACTGTCGGTGGATGTGCCATCCAAAAATTTGTTTTGAATACCCTCAAGCCAATGCAAGTGGGTAAAAGGGTATATTGGTTTTTAGTAAATGTTTGTAACGGGCAGAAGGGGGCATAAAGTATATATTTTCTAGTTCAGCATGAACAGATGAATCGATCTAGCCAAGTCCGTCTGCAGGTCGATCTCAGTATCTAAAGTCTTTCTATTGCACAAAAAGTCCAAGTTTTATTCAATTCCATCGATAATTCCACGATATCGATAAGATTTGATATCGGTTGCCTAATTTTTGCCTATAATAGTTTCAATCAAAGTTATGTAACGGGCAGAAGAAGGCATCAAGTATATATAATCTTGATCGGCATCAACAGGAGAGTCGATCTAGCCATATAAGATCTAAAGTGTTTCTATTGCACGAAAATTTCGAATTTTAATCATCGATAAATCCACAAAATCGATAAGAAATGATATCAATAATCTATTTTTTGAATATTTCTCCTAGACCTAGAGACAACAAATTTTGTATTTAGAATATCTTAAAGTAAGAATATTTCGCTAAATTATATTGTCACTCCGTTTTTCCCAAAATTAAAAACACGCTTTCTGGTTAGTATATTACAGGGTATTTACACACATTTGGATGCTTGCTTGTGTGCGTGTGTCTATGTTTGGCTTTGCGTGTGTATGTAAAGAAAGTTTCAAATAGGGTATCTGCTAGTCGTACACTGCCGACTAGTGCACTTCTATGTGCTTCTCGTGCTGTTTTTGCTTTTCGCCAATGATTTATTTCCATCTTTTGCTGGCGCTGCTAATATTCGTTCAATATAAATATTTACACAGTTTATTTTTGAACATTTTACAAATTGTACAAAATAGAACTAATAGTTGTATACACAAAGATATGTATGTACATATATATAGATATGTAAAGAGCGTATACGTGCTATGATCACGTTAGATAAATATTATGAAATTGTCGGTGTACATGAGTACGTAGAGTACATAGATTATATGGATTATATACACAGTGGCTCACAGATAATTTCAACCAGATAATTAAATCAACTTTAGGCAGCTATAAAAACTAAACCAAACAAATAGATCAAAATTTTAGAAATGCAGTTTGAAAGCCTGATGCTTAAAGTTGTCAAATATGATTATGTTAATTTTTTACAATATTTTCAAATTGAGGAATGGGCCAAAATTAGGCTACAGGTTAACCAAAAGTTGGTAGAATCCATGCCAAGCCAAAAACGCTCAAAATGGTTATTGACCACAATTTTATACTAAATATTTAAAAAAAATGTTGTTTCGCTGTAAACTTCTAATTGTTAAAAAAAATATTTAAAAAATTTATGAAGTCATATTTTAAGACTTGAAACAATAATTGAAAAAACTGCATTTATATAATTTGAGTATTTTGCTTAATGTAGTTTTTATAGCTTCATAGTTTTTTTAAAGAACTGGTCGAAATAAGTTGTGAGCCACTGTATATATATATGCGCATATACAACGCATACACACACACACACACTGGCACACCCACACTCACAACACGCACACACACAAAGAAGTTGCTCAAGTGGGAAAGTTGACAATGCGCGTAAATTGATTGCGTTTAAATGAACATGGGAGAAATTCAAGCGAATTATGGCAAAAGCTGTTTGGCTTTAAATCAGCTCAGAAACACACAAAAGAACATAATGTGGATAATATTTAAACGAGTTGCAGATAATTGAACCAAGTGCTGTGCCGGACTAAACTGCACTTACAGCAAACGGATGCTCGGTATTTGTCTCCGGATCAGCAAATTTGGCAAATTGAAATCGAAATAAAACCGGAACGCGACACTTGGACCGCTCTTTTCAGTTCGCACCCGAAAAAAAGTTTACTTGAATTATTCAAATAAAAAACGGCAGCAACGGAAAACGGCGATCATCCAAACGGGAGCACAGTCCGAACACAAATGATCATCATTCCCATTCGTTTGTCAACCGAATCTCTGCGTCGTCGTGTCTGTCCGGCTGTTTAGTGGGCGTGGACGTGAGCGTGGGCGTGGACGTGTAGTAGAAAGTGTGTACAATTGTGGGCTAACACATTGTACTGAGGTTTATTTGTCTCGTTGCTTTCAAAAACGGTCTTGCTTGTTTTTCCGCTTTTCTCACATTAAGTTTTAATCACTTATTTATTGCCAAACAGCAGCAATTTTCCATTGAAAATGTGTTTAATGGCAGTTTTCAATTGAATTACGACGGAATACAATTCAAAAACAGATCACATTTAAAATTAAATATCGAGTTGAAGACTACGCAAAACAATCTCGCGATTTATTATTGTGTTTAATACTTGGAATTTTAGCAAACTTAATCACATCAACTATCCACCAAGAAATCAATAGATATTACGATAATGTTTAGAGCTGATGCAACAGCAGTTTTACAAGGCAATTCTTTGATTTTCCCCTTTAGCTTTCATTAATTAAAATCTTTTCTTATGTCTAATAATTGTTGTTGGTATTTTGCCTGTGATAATAAGTGTTAAAATTGAAATTTGTCTATCGATTAGTTGTGCGCTAGGCTTTGATACTATTTACTACATACTTATGCTAAAAAATATCACATAATTTGGATATTATCTTTGTGTTGGTGATACTAGTAAAAACCTTCTAAATGTATTCGTATATGCTACATAGGGAATTGTAATAAAATTGTCTCCTGTATTATGGAAGTTATTGGGTCTATTTTTACTTAAAGCTAACCTATTGAGCTTGAAGCCTAAAAAGCATTTGTTGTAGTAGTTCCATATTAATTGTTCAGTTATCGTATCACAGACCTACACCTGCTGCAAATAGCGATAGGCAATGGCTGAGCCACTTCCCCGATAATTACTCTCACTAAGCTTAACATATTGACCCAAAAAGTTGAGGACCACGCTGCTGCGGCAAACGTTGTGCAAATAGCCCAGCAGATAGGGCGTCAGAACCGTGCCCACAATATAGGCCAGCTGCGGTATGCGGTCCGTGTGGTCGTAGAAGGGCCAAAGCCAATATCCTCGCCGCACAGCGTCCCTTGTATGATGCGTGATAAAGGCACAAAGCAGGGCGCCCAAGAACAAGCTGCTGCGGAAGTAATTGAGGCACGCGGTGCATATATAAAACAACAGCATGGCCACCACAATGCTGGAGCAGTGCAGAAATGGCCGTCGCGACAGATTGGTGGCATCCTGTAAATGTAAAATGTAAATGTAATATGAAAGAAGGAATCTCTTCGGCACGCCGAAGATTAAATACTCTTGTAGGACTATGGCTCACGGGCTAACTATGTGAGAAAAAAGGGAAAACTCCTTCTTTGTTATGTTTGGTGCGGGTATATAAAGCTATAGATCTGAATAATAAAGTGGTTGGATAAGACATCGCACTAATATAAATGACACAGAGATGAGAGTTCTTATGGAAGCTATATGATGAAGTGGCTAATCTGACATTGATTGAGACTAGTTTCTATGACATGTTGCTAATAGACAGAAGGACATGACTATATCAGCTCGGCTTCTAATACAGATCTGGAATATATGTATACTTTAAGCCCGGCAATCTTTGCTTCCAGCTTCTATAAAATCGGACTGCAGCTGACCTCCAAGTAGAGCGAGCGGGCCTCTATAAAGTGATCCAGGTCAATAAACGAGGAGACCACAAAGCAGCTGAAAATCAATATCCAGCCGAAGAGCTGAGTTGTGCGCTCATAGAACTGCATGGCAAATGCAATGCCCGTCAGAGCGCCAATTGCGGCATGCGTGGCATTGTCAGCCAGGGCCTTCAGCAGCGGATGCTGTGTCAGCTCCACGAAATTGTCGCCGAGCAGGCACGTTATTATCACCAGGGTGGTGAGCACAATCCGCAAATAGACCATTGTATGGCAGTGTGGCATCGATTGCTCCTCCTCTGCACTCTGCACTCTGCACCTTGCCTTTTGACTTTTGATTGGACTCGTACTCGTATTCGTTTTAGTTTTGGACGGAAGCGGCGTTGCTCTTCAGATTTTCGTTGTTTCTGTTGTGGCCCACTGTGCACATATTGCACAATCAATAAGTTTGTTGTCGGAAATTCCTGTGTGTGTGTAAAATATGTAAATACAAACTGTTAGGCAACTGCATGCGTCTTCTTTGTCACTCACGTGTTTTAGCGTCCTTGCGCCACAGGCACAGACAACAACTGCATTGCAGCTGTGTGACGGCGACTTCTTGAGGGTTGCAAGTACACGTACACCATTACGTTGACTCGGCGATTCCTAGCAACAACAAGCGGCATATTTCTGTGTCTGAATGTTTTGATTTGTCGAACAGACGTGAAGTGGGCGGCGGCAGTATCAAAAGGCTGCCACCTAGTTACACATCTGGCAGCACTGCATTTAAGCGTCGTGTGGTCACCCTGAAAACGCAACAGCTGTTTAGTACGCGCCAAAATTTAGCACAGTTGAAAAAAAAGAGTTTAGTACATGATTTTGCTGCTTGTCTAAATTGAAAACTTACTTTTAGATATGTATATGGAAATTTTTCACAAAAATCTACGCAGCTGATTTTTCGATGGCGTTGCTTACAAACAAACAGCAGTGGAATTTTCCATGCGAGTGCGCTTCATGAGATCTAAAAAGCTCTCTCTCTCGCTCGCTCTCTTCACACACGTGGATGCATGTGTATGTGTGAGTGGAGATAACATCTGGCCGCGCACTTGTTAATTATAAACCGACTATACTATATATTGTTTAGCTATTTAGTTTACTCATTTATCATTTATTCGCTCTTAAAACTCAATATTGAAGGGATAGTTTTTGCTTTTAACGGCATGCTCCATTTTGATAAGACGCTCGCCCGTATTGTATGTGTCGAGGATCGCGTGATCCGCAGCATCCAGTTTGAAATCAAAGATCTTGAAGTTCTCCTCAATGCGTTTCGGATTGGATGACTTTGGCAGCGGCACGGTTCCGATTTCGATCTATAATATAATCAAAGTTAATGATAATAATCAAATTATTTAGGCTTTTCGGTTCTATCCAGGTTACCAGGTAACGCAGCACCACCTGCGCCGTGCTCTTCTTGTACTTGTCGGCAATGGCCTGCACCTTGGCATCGTATATGAAGCTCGGCTGCTTCTTGGCCGGATCCGGCCTGCCCAAAGGACAGTAGGCGGTCACGACGATATTGTGCTGCTTGCACAACGCGATCAGTTTCTTCTGGTTAAGCGCCGGATGACATTCGATCTGTGGAGGAATGTACGAGCTGAGTATATATAATATTGATACCGCAGTTGTTTTACCTGATTGTGAATTGGCTTGATTTTGCAGTTGGCCAAGAGACGCGTCAGTTGCTCGGAATTGAAATTGGAGACGCCGATGCTCTTGGTCAAGCCCAGCTCGACGAGCTTCTCCATGGCGCGCCAAGTGTCCAGATAGTCGATGTCGCTGGGAAGATGAAATGGGTTCAGTTGAAGAGGATTGCAGAAATAACTGGTACTCACCTGAGTTCCACCTCTCCCTTGGCGTCCGTGGGCATTAGCTCTGTGTCGCCGCGATAGACATACGAGTACGGCCAATGCATCAAGTAGAGATCCACATAGTCCAGCTTAAAGTTGGCCAGTGTCTTGCGACAGGCATACTCCACCCGCTCCGGCTCATGGAAGTGCGACCAAAGCTGCTCAAAAAAGACACACAAATTAACGCCAAACTGGATGCTGGTCACATACGCACGCACCTTGGTGGTTATGAAGATGTCCTCGCGCTTGATGACGCCCTCGGCGATCTTCTGGCGCACCGCTTGCCCCACCTCGCCCTCGTTCTCGTAGAAGAAGGCGGTGTCTATGTGCCGGTAGCCGACGTCAATCGCATGCAGCGTCGCCCGCTCGCAATCCCCGCCCAATGACTGGGCAACATTTTTAGAATTGTGATAAGCCCTATCAATTGATCTAAATATCACTTACCGAATAAGTGCCCAGGCCAATTGCCTGGATTTGGGTGCCGTTATTGTGCTTAACATATGTTGCCTTATTGCCCGCCGACATCTTGCGTTCCCTCTCTCTCTCTCTCTCGCAGCTGCTTTGCAACTGTTGCTCAAAAACTGCGAACTCGGCACTTTTATAGCCCAAAGCTCTGCGACGAAAGCTTTGCGTGTGTTCTAAAAAAGCTTTCGTGATGAGATGATTGAGTACAGACGACTTTTGCACACACTACAAACCGAAACATATGAATAAGTTTATTTTAAATAAAATAATTAAATATAAATAATAAATATAATAATAATAAATTAGACGTTAAGTTAAACTATAATTGATATGTTATTTACATTTATTCAACTGAATAAGTTATATATTGCAGTACTTGGTAGTGTTGCCAGACTTTAAAACACTAGCGAAATGCAGTGCTGTAAATAGTTTTTTAAAAAAAGCTGGCATAGCTTGGCACAATTTGGCTATAAATAGACTAAAATCAGCTAAATTAAGCTGGAAAATACTTGCAGTAGCGAAATCCAGTGTTGTAAATAATTAAAAATAAAGATGCTACTTGGCAATCTAGCTCTAAAATAATAAAATAAAACAAAAATAAACAGCTAAATTAAAAATGTTGCAAATACTTTTTTAAAAAAAAAAAAAGCTGACTACGCTTGGCGAGCAGCAGTTGGCAATAAATAGGCTAAATTTAGCTGGAAAATACTACCGTTACCGTTATTGCGCTGGCGCAAGCTTTTTAGCAGCTGAAACGATTTGGAAGCGAAACAACATCTGTTATTCAAAGTGGCACAATCGGAAAAGTCGTAGTCCTTGCAGCCGAAATCCTCACATGCCAGCACATTGGTCACAATTAAAGCACATTGAAGCAATTTATTGGGTGAGTTGTTAAATCTGAAATGTGTTAATTTAAAATAAAATCGTTAAAGCGTTAATACGTGTGTTAAGTGAATGTTCCAACTTTCCAAAAACTAACTACGCATAATCTAAAGAAAAGTCTGCGTCCCGTCTATAAATAAATTGTGTGTGTATATACATACTATATACTTTGTCTATAAATTGCCTTTAATCATGACAAATGCTCTTGAAAAATACATTTCTTTTAGTCGAAGGAGAATGAGAGAAAAAAGTGCAGCTGAAAATAATTGTATTGTAATTTTTTTTTGGTATACGCAGCACGCCTACAACTGCGCATGCCCCAGACCCAAACCCAGAGCCAGACTCCTACCCAGAGACGCAGCAGCAGCAGAGCAGCAGCAGCAGCAGAGCAGCAGCAGGTGACAGCGACGTCTACGGCGTGAAAACTCAAGGCTATCGAGTTAATTTGCTTGGACATGGCCACCGTGGCGCACGGCTGCAGCAGTCCGCGGCAGCGTTCCTGCAACGGCAGCAGCTCACCTGGCGGACAGCACAGCTCGACGCCGGCGATGATGTACACCACGATGCCGAAATATACGCGCACGGCCAGCCAGACGCTCTACGCGACAAGTCAGCAGATGTTTGGCGGCGGAATGTCCGGCGTGGTGGAAAGTCAGTATAATGGACACGGAGGTGGACTCTATATGGCCGCGGGCAGCATGTCGCAGCGTCCGCTGTCGGCGTCGGCTTTGCCGGAGACGGCGACCGGCTGCCGCAACTACTGGAGCCAGAATCAGGGCCAGGGTCAGGGTCATCCGGGGCCGGGTTCGTTCTATCACAGCAGCGGCAGGCACTTTAACTACAACAAGCGCAAGTCCGCCGTGGAGCTGCTGGCCGAATCGAAGCCCTTCTACATCAAGTCCGACGCGGTCTTCGAGCGACTGCAGCAGTCCGGCTATCGCAGTGGGAATGGCGCCGCAGCTGGTGTCAAGCGTGGCCGCCGGCCGGAGGAGGGGCACTACAGTGCCACGCCCACGTACGAGGAGCTGGAGGACAGGCGCTACATGAGTCTGACCAGGCAGCAGCAGGCCCAGCAGCAATACGGACTGCACAATCATCACCAGCAGCATCATCATCATCACCGGCACAATCCCGGCCAGGGGATGCACGGCCAGGCGAGGGAACGACCCGGCTCGGCGGTCAACAACAATCTGCTGCAGCACAAGCTGCGCATGCTGCTCGGCTCGGAGGCGGGCAAGGAGCGCGGCAGCCTGCGTCGCCATGAGCTGGGCGACAACAACCAGGATGAGGAGGAGAGCAGCGCGTTGAGGATTCCGCCGCCGCTCTATCTGCCCGCACATGCCTTCGGCAGGGACTCAGCCTACGGCGGATATCCGAGCGAGCCGAACAGCGGCGGCGAGGAGCCGCTGGTGCTCACCGAGAACTACAGGCCCATCAGTCCGCCGGCGGAATACGCGGCCAAGTCGAGCCAGGCGCAGCACAACGAGCGTTACAGGTGAGCATCCCGGCGGGTGCCCGGCTGCAGCTGCTCCACTAAAATTCCCTTTTCTCTCTGCCCGAACAGATACAACTATCAGCGCTCGTATTCGCACTCGCACGAGGTGGCCATTCCGGACGAGCGTGCTCCGTATACGGCGGGCGAGTTCAACATCAATAGTCACAAATCTCTGCCGGATCTGCACACGCAGATCAGCCGGCACTCGCCGCACAGCGAAATCCTGAGCTGCTGCAGCCGCGGCAATCGTTCCATCAAGTCCGCCGGCGAGTCGTCCATCAATCGCGACTCCGGCGGCAGCTCCGGCCATTACACACATCGCAGCGAGCCGTGCTACAAGCGGCAGCGCGATACGAATCCGGGCACCGCCAGCGGCACCATTAAGAACTGCTGCAATCTGGTGGCTGCGACCCGGCGGGACAGCGGCTCCTCCACGCAGCACAGCGCCAACTCGTATTGCGGCTATGTGACGCCCGCCGGACGCAATACGGACTGCCTGGACTGCCGCTGCAAGCTGGACACGGCTCCGCCGGGGCACATCTCGGGCTCGGCCGCCGATTACTTGCTCAATTTCACACCCACGCCGGAGGTGCCGGAGGCGTTTCAGGATGACTACACACCGACGCCGCCGTCGCCACGGCTCAAGACCCAAACGCCGCGCTACTCGAGCTCCTCCAGCCAGCAGCTGCACACCAGCTCCCAGGGCTACACGAGCATCAACCATTCGCAGAGCTCCCTCGTGCAGAGTCCCGGCTCGGCACCGTCCGTGGACGACATCAGTCCGCCGCCCATACAGTTCAAGCGGCAGCGTTGCATACGCTTCAAGAACCGCAACCGGCTGCCCGTCCAGCCGCGCACCTCGCCCATCAATGCGGCCATGGAGTGTCTCAGCGGCGGCTCGGCGGGCTACAACAAGCGCAGCATGGAGCACGAGAATGTCTTCTTCCCCAAGGGTTTCTCGGCGGACGGCTATGCCATGGACATGGAGCGGGAGGCGTTGAATGCCAGCATATCGGAGCTGGAGAAGTTCTTCGATCGGCTGGGCCTGAACGACGAGGCGTTCCACGAGCTCTACAGCCAGCCCCGGCGTCAGCACAAGCCCGACACCGATTCGGATGACTCCAGCACTGTGTTCTTCTCGGATCACAGCACCGTGGACTCGATGCGGCTGCCGGACAGCACCGAGACGCAGCCGCAAACTACACAGCCGTATCGACCCTCGGAGCCGCCATCAATTGTGGAGCGCAATGCGAGAATCATCAAGTGGCTGTGCAACTGCAAGAAGACGCAGTGCGCCTGAGGATATCCGTAAATTTGATATTGTTCTTTAGATATGAATCATTTTACCCTCTAGTCCCCACCCAGAAGTACAACGCAATTCGAATTGGAGCTCTGTTTGGATTAAAGTTGCAGATAAAAATTCAATCGAGCTGCTCGAGCTTCCTTCAAACTCGAACATTTCGTTCGAGCCGTTAGCTCGAACATGTTGCTGACCAGCTCGAACCTCGTTCGAATGAATATCTGCGGGTTTGATGAATCGTTTATTTGAGCACTGCTCGTTTTTCGGCCAAATCAATTGAGTATCCGTGTTGGATACATTCGATTTATCAAAGCGAGGCTCTACTTCGAGTATCTGGCAACAGCCAACTGTTGTACAATTAAATTGCAGCTTATTACTCGTATGAATGTGCGTTTGGTCATTTTTTTCTGCCACGTTTTGCAGACACAATTAAATAATTATTATTGTATAACTAATCGTCTAGCAAAATGAGAGGTCATATTACTCGTATACATAATGGTATTATTAGAATGAATTATTGTACAATTAGCTCTCGTAACGTGCATATATATCGTAAACATATTAACTTGCCCACTACTTATACACAAATATGTATGTATGTAGTTGCCAAAAAAAATCAATAAAAAACAATTTAAAAGTACTCGTAAAGAAATTGAACCTACCTATTTATGTAAGTGTAAAATGGTTTGCATGATAAATAAAGATTTACTATTATCAAAACAAAGTTTAATATGTTTTTGTAAAAAACTCTGTCGGGAGGCCGAGGGAAGAATAGATCTTGGAGACTATAAGATCCATAGAATGGAAATTCGAAATATATATCATGCTTAACAAAATAATATATAATAGAATTTTGTAAAGCAAGGTAGGCATAGATCTCGGGAACTATATGATCCAGAGAATGGGAATCCGTAATATATATTCTCTCTTTGAGTGTCAGCTTAAATAAATATGTCAAAACAATATATATAATATGTTTTTGTAAAACTATGTGAGAGGCCTAGGAAAGCATCTGAATGCGTAGATCTCGAAAACTGTATGATACAGAGAATAAGAATTCGTAGTATATATTCTCTTTTTGGATGCAAGCTTAATAAATAAAGAGTTACTATATTATTAAAACAAAATATATTGTGTTTTTGTAAAAATCTTCTCGGGAACTATATGATCCAGAGAATGGGAATTCGTAATAATCAACAATATATAATATGGTTTTGTATCAATCTGTGTGGGAGGTCAAGGGAAGCATAGATCTATCGGAGACTATAAACGCCAGAGAAAGGGAATTCGAAATATAAATTCTCATTTTGCGTTCCATATCGAGATCGGACAATTGAGTATACGACATAATGTACATATAATGACCCACTAAATTCGCGCATTGTTCAGCGACCTATTTGGGATCATAATGAAACAGATGTGTGCCCGTAAAGCTAGCCCATTGTCGGATGGGGTTATAAAAGCGTCAGATAGTTGGGTCGGACGCATCAGAAACTTTTGAGATATGCACAAAGTTCTATTTGTAGCCGTTGTCTTGGGCGTACTTGGGCTGGTAAGCTTCAAATGTGACTGCAATTTTGTAAGAATCTATTTTTTAATAAATTTTTACCTCTCAGGCCTTGGGTCATAATGTGAGTATTATTCAATTGTTGCTAACCAGATCGGGAGCTTATACAGATTTTGACTATGTCCAACTCTCAGGTAACTCCTAAGCCAAAGCCTCCTAAGCCAGGTGATGGTGGTGGGTCCGGAGGAGATTGGTCCGGTTCCGGAGGTGGATCCGGTTCCGGTTCCGGAGGTGGAACCGGTTCTGGAGGTGGCTCTGGCTCATGTCCCAGGCCATCCCCGGAGAGCATAAAAGTAAGTTCCAATTTTGAATATTAGCTGAAAAAAACATATTGAAAATTTGCATTTTAGTGCCTGCAAGAATGGGCGTGTCAGCAAGTCATACGCCTGGATCTGCGGTAAGTTGGCCAAGGATTACGTGTACTTACATTTGTCTCAATGCCCCTCCCTCCCTTCTCCCTCTGCAGGTGTCTTCTTAATCTGAATGGCAACAATTTGCTGGGCAATCTGGTGAGCGTGCCCGGCGTAACCGGCGGAGGTGTTGTTCCCGGCGGAGGAGGTGGCGGAATTCTGGGCACCCTGCTAAATGGCTAACCCCAGAAATGTATGCACATTAAAGCAATAAAAAGCTTAAGGCGAGCCATCGAATCTCATTCGGAATGGCAGCTGTTAATGGCAAGGCAATAATAATAAGCGAATGAGTATTCGTATTCGTATTCGTATTCGTATTCGGGCGATAATCGTTGCACATAACACTTAACTCGATTATTGTTTAAGCGCTCTCGTTTTGGACCAGCAATTAAGTGGCCAATTCTCGAATTAGCCAGCAATTCACTGGACGCTTCTCACCTTTAACCGAGAGTCAGGTGGCAGGCATGGGGCAGGCTGGCCTTAAAGCCTGGCATTCGCACAAAGTCGCAAATCATTGAAGCATATGCAATTATTCATTTTGAGGTTGAATGCGCTCGAACGCACACATAGATACACGAGCTTCTCTTCCATTGGGGCAGCTCCTCCTCCTTGGAGCAGCTCCTCCAGGAAAGGCAGCAAATTTAAATTCAGCAGCAGTTCTTAAACGCCAGGCAGCATAAAAATCGCTTTTACTATGCGTAGTTTTTTCCCCCTTTTTTTCGTTTTACGTTTTTTTATTCATTTCTATTTTGTTGCCTTTTTGTTATACCCTGTAACCATTTAAATTAACTTAAAGGGTATCATGATTTTCTTCTTCGCTGATCCGCCCCCATCAATTATATATATTCTTGATTAAGAAGACGAAGAAGAAGTCGATCTCGACATGTCCATTCATTAGAAAGTCTTCCCGCTTTTCTTTTCAATATCTCAGAGCTTGTTAGAGCTAAAGATACCAAATTTTAAATGTACATAGATCTACAATATTTAACTCTTTGAATACCCGCACTTTATTCTCCCAAAATCTTAAAAATAAACTATTTTTTTTTGCGATTATAGCCCGAGGCTGTTTAAATCTTGAAAAATTGAGATCGGACAATAAACACCGAACTTAATCAAAAAAGCATTTCCCCTAATATGCATTATAAAATATTATATTACATATATATTATATATTATATATTATATATTATATATTATATATTATATATTATATATTATATATTATATATTATATATTATATATTATATATTATATATTATATATTATATATTATATATTATATATTATATATTATATATTATATATTATATATTATATATTATATATTATATATTATATATTATATATTATATATTATATATTATATATTATATATTATATATTATATATTATATATTATATATTATATATTATATATTATATATTATATATTATATATTATATATTATATATTATATATTATATATTATATATTATATATTATATATATTTTATATTATATATATTTTATATTATATATTATATATATATATTATTCTGGGTATCTTCTAGTCGTGCACTCCCGATAATGGCCAGTTGATTGCCAGCCGTTGTAGCCAAGTTGTGTGTGGCTCCTCCTCTTCATTTGGCTGATTTCGTTTTGGCCAGATCGCGTCCTATTTTAGCTTAATCCGTCACTTGCATCGACAGCTCAATAGTCTGTTGGCAACTTCAATTTCCTTTGCCCTTTTATAATTAACTTTATGTGTATGTATTTAGTTTTATTGCTCGTTAGACAGCCCAGCCAAGGACAATGAAACAACAATTTGTGGCCCGCAGCAGCGCAATGTGTGTAGGCCATTTTGGAAGTGCCACAGCCACAGCCACAGCCAGAACCACAGTCAGAGCCATCGCCATCGCCATCGCCATTTCCCATTGCCAGCACAGCCGTCGCCATTATATTAATTACAAACGTTTCCCAGGCCACATCTCCAGAGCCAGTTCCTGTCTCACTAATGGGCCAAAGCAAGTAAATCACACGCAAAGCTCTAAGGCGATTTGGCCAACGAGTTGCGAGGAGAGACGGCTCCCAAGCAAGTTAACGAGCCTGTCCCCCCTCCCTCCCTGCTCAGCAGCGCACAGAATGAACTCCAACAATTCATAAGTTTTAGAAACATTCAAATCAATCGGTATTTAAAGAATACATTCGAATCACTTGGTATTTCTAGAATGAACTCTAGCATCTTATAAGTTTTAGAGACATTCAAATCAATCGGAACTTGTAGAATGAACTCTAGCATCTCTCAGCAGCTCACAGAATGACCTCTTATAATTCATAAGTTTCAAATACATTCGAATCACTTGGTATTTAAAAAATGAACTCTAGCATTTGAATAACATTTACTCAGCAGCAGAATGAACTCTAATAATTCATAAGATTCAAATACATTCGAATCACTTGGTATTCAAAGAATGAATTCTAGCATCTCATAAGTTTCAAATACACTCGAATCACTTGGTATTTAAGGAATGAACTCCAACATATCATAAGTTTCTGAAACATTCTAATCAATCGGTATTTTAAGAATGAAATCTTGCACCTCACAAGTTTCAAATACATTCAAATCACTTGGTATTTAAATACTGAACTCCAGCATCTCATAACTTTTAACTACATTCGAATCACTTGGTATTTATAGAATAAAATCTAGCATCTTTGACAAACATTTGAGTCACTCGGAATTTATTCAATTGAATTATTCGTCCTTCGATTTAATCGCATCAAAACTGGCTATATCCGATTCTGTGGAGCTGTTTGGGCTCGCCGCCTCGGCCACAGCTGGTTGATTGGTTGTCGACACTTCCGTGATAAGGTTCTAAGGGTAAATGGAAGAGAAAAAGGAAAAACTCTTAAATTGTGCATTTGTTTGGCGTTTTGCTTTTGGCTCTGCCTTACCTCTGCCCGAAGGGGCTGGGCGCTGTCCTCCTTAAAGGCCTCCGCCAGGCCGGGATGTATATTGCCGAGAGCCTCGTCCCCGTGGCGTATGTAGACTGGCACATGACCCTTGCGTGGCTCCAGCTCCTGATAGGGCGCAGCTAAGAAAAATTTAATTACAAGCCATTAAATCATTGCCAGCCTTATCAGCCCGGTTAATCTTCAATGACATACACCCGGAAACCTTGAATCACGCCGCGCAGCGACAACGTAATTATGACTAACGAGCTGAGAGCTCAGAGCTGAAGCTGTTGCTGCTTCTGCTGGAGTGGAGAGGGGCAGCCCCCTTCGCACTCTACGCCCATGCACACAGTTGGTTTATAGAAATTAAGCAAAACCAGTTTCAAACAATAGAAACGTGAATAATCAAAGCAAATTCGCATAATTATGCCCAATTTATGTGATTTATATTTATTTACGGCTACTCACCTTTGCTCAAAATGCACGAAGCCAGCATAATCAGAACGACTAAAATGCAGCCCATATACTTAGACATCGTTAGTAGATATTGTAATTAGCGGAGCAAGAGAGAGAGATCCCAGTGTGTGTTTGTTGTTCACAACCTGCCTGTAGATTTGAGACTGCGATCGCACAGCATCTGTGCTTAAAACTTATATATCCGATATTCGTTCTAAGCGAACCAAGACGCACGCTTCTCGCTCATCTCTCGGCAACTCTTCTTTCCAGCCCACTTCACAGCCAGTGTTGCCAAAAGCAGCTTAAACTAAAGCTAAAAATAGCTAAAATAAGCTGAAGGCAGCTGGAAATATTCTCATTAGAGCTCTGCGTAGGTATAGGTTAATCCATACTAAATCGAATGAAAACCGCCAGACTCCAGATGTCGCGATAAATTATACGATTCTCCAATCCAGAAGGTGTTCATGAGAAAGAAGTTCGATCTGCTCGAGTCGGCAACATGTTTGAGCTAAAATGTACGAGCTCGATGACCTTGAGCTTATATTTTCGGTTTAATAAAAAATTCTCCAATCCAGAAGGTGTTTGTAAGAACAAAATTCGACCTGTTCGAGTCAGCAACATGTTCGCAACGATAACATGTTCGATACTCCAATTTAGAAGCTGAAATAGACATGTTGGAACCGAGCTCGATCAGCTTAAGCTTATATTTTCGGTTTAATAAACGATTCTCCCATCTAGAATGTGTTCATAAGAACGAAGTTCGAGCTGCGCGAGTTGACAACATGCTCGAGCTTAAACAAGCGCAATAGACATGTTCGAACTGAGCTCGAGCACGTTTGAAACTAGCTCGATCAGCTCGAACTTATATTAATTTCCGGTCAAGTCAACAACGACTCAATTTTGAGTATCCGAAACACGACGCTGGCCATCATTCACATGCTCCCTTGTTAAGTTAAATAAGCCAATTTAGCTGGAAAACAGCTGAATTTGGCAGCACTGTCCACATCGCCAGCAGCTTGAGATGTGCTCCAGCAACAATAAACTTTTGCTTGGCAAATTACTCATGGGCAGATGATGATGATGATGATGTTTGATTATGATGATGTTAGATGATGATGGCTGTAATGAAGCTGTCGGCATTGGCGAACTTTTCTGCTGCTGGTTGTGGGAGCTTCTCGAGCTGCAACTTCTGCTGGGAGTCGAAGTCGGAGTCGGAGTCGAAGTCGGAGCTGGAGCTGGAGAGAGGGCATTTAGTGGCCTGTGGCGTTATCCACTCTGTGGCCATAAAGCAGTTGCCGCTGCTTCTTCTACAAAATTCAAACGCTTCTGTTATTTTTTTATTTCGCAACTTTTTATACTTTTTTGTTTCAAATTAATTGGGTCGTTAGAGAAGCCATTTGCGCGGGTTCCTTCGCTTTTTTTCTGTTTTTCTGTTGCCCTTCTTTCTTTGCTCGCTGTTGAATTGTTTGCCCACTTTCGCTTTTTTTTTGGTTGAATGTATTCAAATCGAGAAATTGCTGACATCTGTAGAGCGCGAACCCGAGTGTCAATCTGGCAAGAGGGCCGGGTTGGGGTTGGGTTTGGGCTTGGAGGCTATTCGACATGTTTGCCTACTTCGATTGTTCCGTTGTGTCGCGTCCTTGGTGCAATTCCATTTAGACTTTGTACTCAATGCACAAGTGGTATCTAAGGGCGCAAGATTTCAAATCAAATTGTTGAGCAAATATTCAACAGAGTAAATATGTTTATGCCGAATCAAGCAATTTCAATTTAAACACACCCGAGCACACATTCACGCTCATACTACATTTTCGATTATGTCAGATAAATATGTTCGAGTGTTGACTCGATTTGTGCACTTGCCGAATTGAATTAGGGCATAGTTTATAATCTGAGCTGACATAAGCCACAACATATTATTAAATTTCAATGCAACATGTTACTGAGGAGGGGCAACCAACGAGTAGTCCTTTGTATTGCTTCACGATTCACTTGATTCAAGCGCAACATAAATGATTTGTTTCGAAAATGTGCTGTCAAGGTTTGATTCCTTTTAACCCCATCCAACTTGGTTTGCAACTTCGATTAAAAGAGGAAATACTCACGAAATTAAGCGATGGTTCGACTCAAGGTTCGCAACAATGCCTTGCCTTAAGGTTCGAAACGGTTCAATTGAGGTTAAGGTTCGGCTGGTTTTATCCGTTTAAGTTTTGGTTCATGGTGGATTTCTGAACTCAAAGCGCTTCGATTAGGATCCTCCATACAAGACAAAATCGATCGAACATGTTCGATGGTTTGATTCATGGTTCGAACCAAGGCCTCTCTTTACAGTTCAGGACACGTTTTTGGTTCAAAAAATTATTCCCTTCAATATTTTATTAGCTCAAGGTTCGGCCTTTTTTGATCGGGTTTAAGGTTCGATTCATAGTTGAATAATTTGGTAGACATTCGTTTTGACGACCTTTAATAAATAAATAAATAAAATTAATAAAATAAATGATAAAAATGAAATAATTAAAATAAATTAAAATAAATAAAATAAGTAAATAAAATAAAATAATTTAAATAAATAATAAAATAAACAAAAATTGTTCAAACAGATTGGAATTAAATTTTATTTGAGAGAAAATGGAAAACTTTAAGGGTTTTACTTGATCCAAAATTCATTAAAAACAGTTTGGATTTTGTTGTCTGTCGTTTATTTAATATTTGTATGTATTTTATGTTTAATGTTTTATGTTTTATGTTTAGTATGTATTTTTATTTCCGAGGCTCTAAAAATAGTTACATGGCTGCACTAATGTGTGTGTGTGTGTAGCTATAATAAGTAACTATATCTAATTAATATTATATCGTTTTTCTTTTTCTTTTGGATTTTACTTGTGTTGTGTTGTTATTTTCGTTTAATTATTTTTTAATTTATTTTCTCTGGTTTTTGTTTATACTCGTATGTATGCATGTATCGTATGTATGTTTGCAAGTATATATACTATTATACCGTTATGGATTGTGTGAATTTATCTTTTGCTCGTATTTTAATTTAAGAATGGATAAGCTTTTTGGGAATATAATAGTAGGTTATATACTCTACATATATTTGCGATAAAATCGTATGTGTTAATGTATGTATGCAACGTGTATGTAAAATGTATGTTAATCTCTGCATGTATTTATGTATTTGCATATGTATGTATACGAGTATGTACGATTTATATCGATTATAAGATAGCTCGAAAGAACAATCCATTTTTACTGTGTATATATATAGTAGACTGTGTACTGGGAATTGTCTAGATACAATTGTTGTCGCTTAAGAGTTGATTATTATGTGTAGATTTTTTGTTGTTTTTATAATCGTTTTATTTGATTTCCTACAAAAGCTGAAACTATTTAAATTGCTTGCACATTCCCATTGGTAGAGGAAAACATTTTCTAACTAAAATTCGAACAAGAACAAATTCTAAGTAATTAAGAGATAATATCGCCGGATCCATATAGAATACGTATATATATAGAGATCTGTACGGCAATAAGATTTTGTATCGTATCGAAGAGAGTTGACTAGTTAATATGTTTAAATAATTATATAGTAGCTTATGTCTGTCTGTGTGTGTGTGTGTGTGTGTGTGTGTGTTAAATGAAGTTCACAATATATTGCAATTTAAATGTCTATATAACTGTTCAAGTCTTTTTGCATCTCTAATATATGAATATATAAATTAATATTTATATATATATATATGTATATATATTTACGTTATTTTTTATACTTATATATTTTTTATATGGTTTTTATCATTTTATAAAATATCTCATTTGTATAATAATTAAAATTTAATTGGTGTCATTGAACTTGATCTCAAATCTGCAAGGATTGCCAACCAATGTCTGTCTGTGTGTGTGCCTGTGTGTGTGCCTGTGTGTGTGTGTGTGCGTGTGTGTATGTGTGGGGGGGGGAGGGGGGGTATAAGTGCACACTTCTCAGGGTTCTGGTCAAATGGGGGAGTATGTACTTTTTTGTTTAGTCTAAAACAAAGCAGCTGTGTAAAAATATTTTGCTTGCGTTTTTTCATCTTCTTTTTTTCTTGTTGTTGTGGTATATAATGTGTATAAATAAATCTAAATTGTAAATGAATCAATTAAACGCTTGCCTCAATATACAATCTATTTGTTCGTATATATATATATATATATATATATATAGATTGGTATGTATATATATGTATGTATGTATATATTTTGAATGTAAAATTGCAAATCACATAATTGTTACCACTACGGTTCAATGGAATTTATTTATTTATTTATGTATATATATATATGTATGTATATATGTATGTATATAGGCATTTAATGCTATTTAAAACGCTATCAATAATCATCAATAAAGCCATGCATAAACACGATTTCGAACTATGGCCCTATAAACAATTGCACATAGCACTGTGGTCTAAATTCTAATCTCAATTATGTTTTCTTCTTTTTGCTATTTGATACGGCATATGGCAAATGTATTTGCATTTGCATTTGTATATGTATTTGCATATATTTTATTTGTAATTGTTATAAAATTGTGTCTGCGTGTGTGTGTGTGTGTGAGAGTGTGTGTGTGCCTGTCCATGTACCTCCGAAGTTAATAATTAATATATATATTTTGTTTTTTGTTTTGTTTGTTTTTTGTTTTCTTTCTCGTTGTATAATTAAGTTCGAATTGTTTTCAATGTTTTTGTTTGTGTTTTTTCACTATGCTTAATTTTGATATAAAACTGCCTCTTTCTCAATATATCGTATATATATACTTTTATATATGCATTAAAAAATAACCTCTATCAGCGTCAGCTTTATAATTCTTAAATTATGAAATAATCGTAATTGACAATTTAATTAAATGTTTTTTTGCTTTTATATTTGTTATTTTTTAGTTTTTATCATTACGGTTTCGGAATAAAAACTACGCGTAAAATAAATACATGTTTGGTGTATATATGCATTTTATAATATATATACTTTTTTCGATTTTATAGAGTTACGTTTTGTTAAAACTATGTCACTTACTTTTGGAATTGCTTTTAGTTGTCATTTTGTTTTACAAGTGCTTCATCTACTTTCGCATCGTCTTCCTCTTCCTCTTCCCACTTCCCGCTTCGAACATCGAACATCGAATCGAACATCGAACATCTCTTGAAACTTTCAGATGCTTGCCCAAACTTCTCGGAGTTAACCCGCGCAATTGGATTATGGAAATTTACCCAAATTTTATCAGACATTTGCGCGGATTAGCGAACTTCGACTTCGGGCCGAAGTTAGTGTTCCGTTTGGGAATTACTTTTTGTATAAAATTAGTTTATAATCTGGTTAATATGTACATAATTTAAATCTAGTAATAAAATAACTATGTTGCAAATTGTATTTTTGGTTTTTGTATGAGAATGTACGTTCTATATCTTAATTGAATCTTGCTTATGTTCTTTGCTTCTTTGTTTTTTTTTTGTTTTTTTTTTTACATTTTTTATATATTTTTAAATTGAATGCATTTATGTTTAAGTATTGTCCTTGTGATATGTTTCTAAATTGTTTTCTCATTAATTATAATTTAATCATTTCTAAGTAATTGAAGTAGTTTTTTGTAGTTTATCGAGTTAGAGCATATTATGGAAGTTATTCATCTTAAATAGGGTTCGAATATAAAGTTGTTGCAGTTTTAAAATTGTGAGTATTATCATTTTTCATTGCTAATCTGTTGCTTGTTGTTGGCCTACCGAACTTGATGCCTTGTGTTAAGTAAATATTCAAAAGACTAAGAGCGATAGATAGTTACAGGAAGTGCTAAAAAGTCCACTAGTTAATTAGTTGCTAAGTTTCGAAATGAGCTGTTCTTTTTATTCTTTTTACCTTATACGAGTATCCGTTCGAGATAGACATAATACTCGTAGTACTCGTTCGAGTTAGACATAATACTCGTAGTACTCGTTCGAGTTAGACATAATACTCGTAGTACTCATCTATTAAGTTATGTACCTATATAAACTCTAGAGCCCTAAAACGATGCCTTAAAGTAGGTATTTGTTTTTTTTTTTTTACCAAAAAACATGCAAATTGGTTCTGCTCGCTATGTACTCATATAATTTATATAGATATAGGTATGTATATATATATATATATATAATTTGCTTTTTGTTTGTTTGTTTGTTGCTTTTTCATTGCTTCTTGTATATATGCTTATTTGATCTGTGTGTATATATAGAATTTCTACTTATGTTCCATAATATTCGTTGTGTCAGATTTTTACTATAAGTTACATTTTGGATTTCATATTAAACCTTTTGTTTTTTTGTTTTTTGTTTTTGTTTCATTCAATAAAAATGCCCAACTTGGAGAGATTCGCTCATTCCGGACCGGAAAAGGTCAGATAATGTCAATAATATAAGTTAATAATAATGTATAATATAATAATAATATGTAGTATAACTGCTATTGACTCTTCGAGATCTAGATCTGGCATCCAAGACGTTACCAACACATGCTCCACATGCTCAAAACTACTCAGAATAAGCTGCTAGTTGACTGATTTGATTTATATATTTCCTTCTTTCTCGTTAAGGGTGCTCGAGTATTGCTTATAGGATTTTCGGTATAAAGTTTCTTAAAGTTTTAGTTAGGCATACTATATTAGATAAGCTTAAGCTACCACAATATCCTGGCTGTTCTCATCGCTGTCCAGCTCGTCCGGCTCGAGTTCGTCATGCTTCAGATCCTCCGCCTCCTCCTCATCGTCCAGATCCTCATCGCCGTCGCCATCAATATCGTTATCGCCGTCCACATTCTTGCCTGCATCCCGCAGACAGGCCGACTCCAGATGCTTGTTCAGATACGATTTGAGCGCAAAGGTTTTGTTGCAGCGCAGGCACTTGAAGTTCTTGTCGCCCGAGTGCGTCTGCATGTGAGCCCTCAGATTGGAGCGATCCGCAAAGGCCTTGCCGCACTGCACACACACGTACGGCTTCTCGCCGGTGTGGGAGCGCAGATGGCCCTGCAGCAGCCACGGGCGCGAGAATAACTTGCCACAGATATCGCAGCTGTGCGACAGCTTGTGCGTCAATAGATGCATCGCCAGGGCCGGCATCGAGACGTAAGCCTTGCCGCAGGTATTGCACTTCTTGGCCGACTGCGAGTCGAGGGAGCGATGCGTCTGCTTGTGGCGCGACAGATTACTCGAGGTGGCATATTGCTTGCCGCACTCGGAGCACTTGTAGCAGCCGCGCTTGCGCTTGGCATAGTTCTCGCCGGCGGGTGCAGCTACTCCTCCTCCGCCTCCTCCTCCAGTTGTCGAGGAGCTGCTGCTGCTGCTGCTGCTTTGGCTGCTGGTGACACTTTTTGGACGCAGCTGCTGCTGCTGTTGCTCCTTGTCCTTGGTGGCCGCCTTGCTGGCCTTGGTGCGGCCGTCGAGCATGTTGAGACACATCTTTAGAGCGGAGGCACGCTGCTGCGGCGGCTGCGGCTGCTTGTTCCAGTGCAGCTGGCCGGATTCGGACGAGGAGGACATATCGATGTCCACATCTGAGCTGTGATCGGAATTGGGCGGCGTCAGCGGCGAACAATTGTTCGATGTTTCCGGCGCGCTATTCAACAGATCGTACGAGCTGCTGCCAATGAACCGAATGTTGGAGCTGCTGCTGCTGCTGCTCTGATACGGCGGCGACTTGTTCGAAATCTCCTGCATAACGGGCAGTTGTTCCGGCGGCTTCTGTAGTATCTCCTGCTTCATAATGGTCACCACACAGGGCGGTATTAGCGGTGGCAGACTTTGCGACAACGACAGCAGATCGTGTGCCGCCTCCGTCTCCTCCACGCTGCGTCCCCTATATATGGCTGCAGCCACTTGTTGCTCCCGTTCGCGCTTTACGGCAATCGGCTGCGGCTCTCTGGGTGCGCCATTGGCATTTGCCGGCGGCGCATAGAAGATCACCTTGCCATCCTCGGCTGGGGCGCGACCAAAGGCCACTGGACGGCGCATAGATACTGTAAAAAGGCGGATTAATTGGATTATTGCCAACAAAATTCGAGATTCGAGCCTGAAAAGCTGCCACTGACAATCTAAGGGCATATCACAGCACTCTCCTTGCACGTTTGTACTCCACTCCATAATTGGCCAACTAATTAATATATGTATGTATGTAATTCACAATATTTGAACTCTTTGACAATCAGGAAAAGTGCCAAAAATTAGTTGACATCACGCTATCTGTCAACTGCACTTGCTGACAATTTTACCTGATAGCAATTAACTATCGCCAGTATTGATAAATGTGTGAGAAATAACGGAAGATCTAGTTAATTTACTCCTTGAGCTTAGATAAATCTATATGGTGGGTGGGGAACACCTCGAGTGAAATAATCGAAGAGTATAAGAACTAGTTACATTTTTTTGAATTTTAACTGCAGCTTGCAAAACTCTTTTCTACTCAGATCGAATATATTTATGTGTATATACATTCGTGATCAGGCTGAAGTGCTAAGTAGATAAAGCCATGTCTGATATTGTCTACGATCTGGGTAATCTCTTGCATATCCTACGCTGTTATCTCCTCGCAATTCCTTAATATCGATAAGTATCGGAGTACGAAAGCTTGTAACAGCTCGGCGCGCGAGTACAGGGTATCTGCTAGTCGGGCACTGCTGCATATAACACTCTTACATGTTGAATATACATTTAATTCCCAGTTGGCGTATTTTCATGCCATACGAAAAGAACTTTAAAGAGTTTTGTTTAAGCTGCAAAAGCTGTGCACTTCGAATTCGATTCCCTAATGAGTGTGACCAGTTGCGCATTAGGGTTTAATCCTTTACAGCCTATGATTAAATATACCATAAGCGCATACTTTTAGTATTTTTTGTTGTTGTTCGCTAGAGGAGTGAGAAGGGGGTTGCCATTATTTCTAGGTCTGGCCTCTTACACATTTCGTATTCTGAATCGATAAGACGTGCCCCCCCCCCCTGCACCCTGTGGCCTCTTTCATGACAATGGCGCGTGTTGGTTTTCGTGTTTGCATTCGCTTCTCCGCAGCCTTTTTGTCAAGAGCAACAAGCAGCGACAACGACAACATCGACAAGAAGGCAAACATGAAAAATGCCAACATACGCTAAAAAGATTAGCTAAAGGCAACAATGTCAAACACGCGCACGGAGAGCACGACAAAGAGGACCAAGTGCTGGGTTGGTGGCCATAAAACGTGGGCGAATGTTGGGGCAAGCGGCTACTAAAAATAAATACGAGTACACAAATTGTCGCAGCCACCTGTTCACATTGTTGTGACGCAACTTCTGGGTGGGAACAGAAAGCGGATATGTTGTGGTTAACTGTTGCACCTACCTGCGGCTGCTGTTACTGCTTTCACTGTGCCCGCTCCAACGCCAGCTACAGTTCCTGTTGCTGCTCCCGCTCCCAGTCGTCGCTCCTGCTTGGAGTTCATTTGCACCAGGGACTGTGCTGCGAACCATTCCAATTGCTGCTCATCGTCCGGCTGGGCAGCCGCCACATTGGCCTCATCCTCGTCCAGCTCGATTAGGTCACGCTTGAGCGCAGCTCTGCCGCCGCGCTTAGACTCCTTATTGGGCCCAGACTTGAGCGTCATCTTGCCATTGTGTGTGCTACTGTTATTGTTATTGGCATTGCGCAGCACCGGGTGCGACTTGTCCACATTGGATGCAACCGACGGCCTCAGTTTGCGCAGCGTCTGCCCGTGCCCGTTCCTGCTGCTGCTGCTGTTGCTCGGCTTTGACTTGGGGCGTCGCCAGCTGTGGGATTCGGTGGCCGGCGCATATTTCTTGCTCGCATAGGCAATCGTTTGTATCTTGTTGCGATTGGGCAGTATAAAGTCCACAGACATTGTGTCGTCAACGTCGCCGTTTCCGTTTCCAGTTTTGGGTCGTTCAATAAAATTTTATAAACTACTTATGAGTACACGCACCCCGTATACCCTCTCTCTCTCTTTCTATATATATATTGCTCCGTTTTTTGTTTTGGTTTTTTGCTTAAGTTATTTAGTTAGATTATTTGTTTAATATTTAGATATAGCACAACCTTCTTTCACATCGACTCCAGAGTGGTCTGCAGTAAAATGCTTCACTTTGACTCCGACTCCGACTTTGACTTCGACTTTGACATGAGCTGCCTTGAGAGTAGCGCTTCCTCTACTCCTACTCCTATTCCTACTCCTACTCCTACTCCTACTCCTGCTGCTTCTGCTTTGTTGTGCCCGTTCCTGTGCCGGCTGCGACTAGCGGGCATCCTTGATCTTGCTCCTGATCGTGATCTTGATCCCGTCGTCCACTGGCTTTGGCTTTGGCTTTGGCTCTCCTCCCACCGGACCAAGCACTCCAAGCGCTTACCCTATAACATCGGCAGCTGTTGATTATATCACTTTATTTAATACGCGTAGTTCACTCGAAAGAATCACTCGAAAGATTTGCTCTCGTTGTTGTTGTTGCGTTGCCGTTTCCGTGTACATTAATCAAAGTTCTTTATAGAACGGAAAAGAAATTAATACCATTAGATTAACTAGAAAAATTTCAAATCAATTAACAGAGTTAAATGGAAAGGAAAATAGGAGATTAACTAGAAATATTGGGGAGCTTCTTCCCTTAAAGATCAGATAAGAGATACTTAATAGAAAAATTTAAAATAGATTTTCAGAGTAAATAGAATAATAAATAGATAATTTGGGGGAACTTCTGCCCCTAACGATCACATTACAGATACCTGATTGTTTATTATCAGAAATGAATGTTTTAATGTTAAATGTATGTTAAATTATTATGTTAACAATTATGTTAAATTTAGTACTGTGATTTTCGGGTTCATTTATGTTAAATTATTATGTTAACAATTATGTTAAATTTAGTACTGTGATTTTCGGATTCATTTATGTTAACAATTATGTTAAATTAAGCACTGTGATTCTCGGGCTCATTTTTATAGCTCCTCCCGCAATATATATGATATGTTAGGTTTATGCACTAAAATTTCGACTTGCGACTGTAAACAAATTCACGCTCGGATGCTGTTCACATAACAATTGGAGCAAGAGGAGCTGCCTTCCAGTAGACGCCCCCAATCTACCCTTACCCTCAGTTGGGCAACACTTTAATCGAATCGTTTTATTATGCGGATAACGTATTTAATTTTGTTTTCTTGTTGCAACATTTTAGAAACACTTTATTTAATATACCGAAAGTGGAAGTTCGAGTATTTGGCGAGTGAAGGGGGCGGTGGAGGGTGAAGGGTGGGTGGACGATGGGAATTTGTATGCTGTTCCAATGGAAATCGCGCGCACGAGCACGAAACTATCTATCCCTATCCCACTTTTTAAAATGGCGCATACTCGTTAAATCGTTGGCTTTGTTTAGGAAATGCAGACTTCGATGGCCTTTCCCATTTCTTGTTTATAGATTTATTGTTGTTGAAAACTTATTCACATGACTTGCCAACACTTATTGCAATTATTTGCACGCACTTTGTGTATTTTATTGAAGCTCGAAGTGGTTGAAAATTTAACAAGAATATGCGACAAAAAATTTTCTTCGTTGTTCGCTGTGTTTCAGCAACAACAACTTGTTTCACTCTGCACTTGTCGAATGTTGTGTGAATTGAATTCGAACAGCACAAAAAGAGAGCGAAAGAGAGAGCGCGACATACAGTATAGAGAGAGTGTGGCGAGCGAGAGAGCGAGCGAGAGCGAGAGAGAGCAGGCGAGTAGCGAGTAGCGAGTGCGACATACATGCAACAAATAGTCAACTGTTGGTTGCCCTAGCCTACCTCACTGTGCTCGGCACCCACTCACCCCCCCTCCCCCTCCCCCTCACTCTCTCTCTCTCTCTCTCTCTCTCATTCTCTCTCGTTTCGATCAGAGTTCCCCCCTCCAGCCCATTAGCGTTGCACATAAACAATGCGCGAATTTATTGCATACTTTGCAGCGCTCGCTGCTGCAGCGAGTGTGTCGTTAGAGCCTTCGGTATACGACACACACACACACACATACACGCACACACACATACACGCACATTCGGCACTTTGTTGCATACGTCACATGCAACAAAAGTTTACAGTTTACAGAACGTTGCCGCAGCAGCGAAAAAACAACTCATGCATAAATTGAGTTTTCTGTCAGTTTTACACGAATTTCATGTTGTTTCTTTTAACGGGGAAATTTGCATTCAGCAAATTTGCAGAAAATTCAGTTTGATTTTTCTCTCGCACTCGTTTTCGTTTTTGGAAATTATATATATTTTTTGGGAAGCCTGTTGAAAATTGCACACCTTCTTCTTTTTCGCTGACATTTGTTGTTGCACTCTTGTTTTTTTTTCACTGGCGTAGCTTTGCACTTTGTTTGAGTATTAGTTAAATATATTACAGTTGCTTTTATTTTTTTATTATATATAGATTGGAAACACTATGGACTTTTGGTTTTAAGCATAATTTGCTGCCGCTGTGCGTCGTCAGTTATTGACGTACCACTCCTTTCTTCTACTCTGTGCGCTTCGTTTTCACAGCTTTTCGTTGCCGTTGCCGTTGCTTTTACTGTTGCTGCTGCTACCGTTACCGTTACCGTCACGTCACAGTTGCCGTCGTGACTCTGATACACACACAGCCAAAATGTGAATGTGAGCGTGAGAGTGTGCGTTTGTTTGTGTGTGTGTAATTTACAGCGAGTGTGCGTGATTTCGGGTCAGCAGCAAAACCAAATCCAACAACGGCAACGCAGCGCTTTGCTGCTGTTGCCAGCTAGTTTGTAGCTAAATGCGGCTATTTTTAGCCGAAAAGAGTTGGAATTTTCAATTGATTTAGCTATATTTTTGGCATCTTTATGTTGACTCTCCTTGTTTATTACAAATCTGTGCACAGAAAGCGAAGTCTTCTAATTTTTTTAAATGACAGCTTTTTTCTAGCTTTATTTGGCTATTTCAAGAGACCATCACCATCACAAAGAGTTGCAATTTTTGCATTGAAATAGCTTTTTTTGGCATTTTTATGTGAACGATCCCTGTTTTTCTAAACAATTTGTACTCAGCAAGCGGAGTCAACTTATTTTTAAGATTCCAGCTGTTTTTTAGCTAAATTCAGCTATTTTTAGATACCATCAGCCGGAAAGAGATGCAATTTTGAATTGATTTAGCTATTTTTTTTGGCATCTTTAAGGCGTCTCTCCCTGTTTATTACAAATTTGAGCGCAGAAAGCGGAGTCAGCTTATTTTTAAGATGCCAGCTATTTTCTAGCAAACTTTGGCTACTTTTTGAGAACATCAGCCGGAAAGAGTTGCAATTTTGAATAGATTGAGATATATTTTGGCATCTTTATGTCCCTGTTTATTATCCAGAAAGGCAGCTAATTCAAGCTGTTTTAAAGCTGCAATTTAGCTATTTTTTAACGCGACATTAGGCAACACTGTTGCTGTTGCTGTTGCTAGCGATGTTGGTGGTGGTGGTGGTGTCGATTAATGCCCAAGCATAGCAAATGGCAAAGGGTGAGCGTTTAAGCTGCGCTAGGAGCAGCAGAAGGGTTGCAGATCCGCGTTAGTGATGGCAGCTTGGCCAGCTTGGCTATATCTTTGTGATTTGTGTAGATCGATAAGCCGCGCTTTTATGGCTAGTTTTTAACGCGCAAAGACACAACAAGTAGCCAAGTAAGGGCAGCAGCAGCAGCACGTCGAGCAACCCCCGAAATGTCAACAACGAGTGCGCAGTCGCACTCGCTCCAAAAAATGTAACGAGAGCTCTCGACCCACACGCATACACGCGCACAGCACAAGGAGGCGAGCACACACACTTGTGGATTGCCGAAAATTATGCAACAGCAGCAGCAGCAGGCAGGAGGAGGAGGAGGCAGGTAGGAGGTAGGCAGGCAGGAGGAGGAGGTTAGTTTGGGGGTTGGAATAAGCAGTTACTTCGGGGGGTGGCTGTGTTTTGATGTCTGCCACTTGGCTGCCCAACTTGGCACGAGGCTGGTTTAAAAATAACAAAAAATATGAGCAGGGAAAAAAAGAAAGCCAAGCAAAGCAAGCTGGCTGAATTATGGCCAGCTGCACAGCATTTTGTCCACGCACAGACTGTAAGCAAAGCTGGGCAAAAGCATTTAATTTGATTATTTTGCATTTGGACATAGTTTGCTGTGACCAAAAGCTGACACACAAGTTGGCCAGAACAATGGCTGGCCAAAAAGCGACGGCCGCATTCAGCCGCATCCCCAGCGCCCGGTTGCCCGGCTTGCCTGTTGTCCTTTTTAACATTTTGAGGTTTGGGCTTTATTTCGTTACGTTTCGTTTGGTTTCGTTTGGTTTGCTCTGTTTGCACAGCGCAAACCGAATCAAAAGGGGACGACAACGAGGACAACAGCAGCAGCAACAACAGCAGCAACAGCAGCAACAACATCAACAGCAGCAACAAGGACGTCATGGCCCGTGGCCCTGTGGCCCATTGCTGTTGCCATTATTGCTCTGGCCGTGTCCCTTGTGGTTTTTTCGGGGACTCCAGCTCCTGCTCCAGCTCCCGTTCTGGCTCTGGGTCTGCTGCGTTGACATCAACGCTTCCGACGCGGGCTTCCTTATTATTCCTGTCACTAAGCCGCCCTTTAAATTCGCAATGAATGCCAAACAGCCAAACAGTTAAATGTTTTTCGAGCGCTGCGAGAGCTGCGGAAGTGCAGCCAACACCCCTCAAGGTTAACAGCAGCAGCAGCGGGGAGGGAGAGGGGAAGGGGCAGGGACACCCACTGTGGGCTGGTGTCCTGCCGTGCTGCGGTTTGACCCTTTTTTGGTCGCCGGTCGCCTTGTTATGCTTTCTTGCGCCAAACACTAATGGAGCTTAAAAAGTTGTCAAAAGCGGCCGCGGGATTTTCTGTTTTAATTTCAAAGTGCCAAATAGAAAATGAAATGGGCCCGGCAAAAACCAAGCGAGGGTCTTTGTTGGCGGGTCCAAGCATCAAATGAACTTAACAAATCAGACGCCAATCGCCGTCAGTCATCTGTCTGTCCCGCACTCCCAACTAGCTGCTGCGGCTGCTGCTCCTGGCTTGGCTATAGTCTATGGTCCTGCACAGCCCATTTATTGCCATATGCTGACAGTGTTGCTCGCGGCGGCAACGTCAACGGCGACGGCGACAGCGACGGGGGCCA